AATCTCTCTCATGCTTTTTTACTATCTCTCTAGAAGACCTATACATTACATAGACGTTTGTCACATGCCGGTGAAACATGGATAATGTTTACATTGATCACATTGTCCACTGAACAATGGTATAGTGGAAATGTAGAGAGTGAGAAGATAAAAAATCTCTCTCATGCTTTTTTACTATCTCTCTAGAAGACCTATACATTACATAGACGTTTGTCACATGCCGGTGAAACATGGATAATGTTTACATTGATCACATTGTCCACTGAACAATGGTATAGTGGAAATGTAGAGAGTGAGAAGATAAAAAATCTCTCTCATGCTTTTTTACTATCTCTCTAGAAGACCTATACATTACATAGACGTTTGTCACATGCCGGTGAAACATGGATAATGTTTACATTGATCACATTGTCCACTGAACAATGGTATAGTGAAAATGCAGAGAGTGACCAGATAAAAAAAGAGAAACAATTCTTTTCCTATTTATACTGTAAGTGGACTGTAAAATAACATAAAGCCAAAATAGCAGACCAAAAGAGCACTGCTTGACTTTAAGAACACTAGACATAAAAGATTTATCCATTTCTCTGTCGTTCGTTTGGGTATTACTAAAATACGCTAACACTTCCTAACATCCACTAACTCCCCAAATTAAAATCTGAGATAGCCGATCGATAGACCTATTCTTTGTGCATAAACAAACACCGAAAAAAATTTATTTGAAAGAGGATTTTTTAGGGCTCTTCCATTACGAACACCCACTAACATCCACTAACACTCAAAAAAAGTGACGCAAACACCCAAAATAATGTGCCAGAATAATCGCCATCCTTTGTTGAGCATATTAGATCACTTTTGAATCTAAAGGAAATCTTACCCTCACTCTCACGAAAAACAGTTTTCTCTGTATATAGTAGATTTTTTCATTCACAAAAAAGCTTTGTGTAATAAATTTAGATGCTTTAGAAAGTCTAAATCTACTAAAAATCTACTATATACTATATACTACTAAATATTGATTATTCAAATGTAGTGAAAGAATATTTTCTTGGTTTTGTTCGATTAGAAGAATTTGATGCAGCAATACTGACACGCAAGATTGTTGAATTTTTAAATAAATTAAATATTCCTTTACAATCAGGTATTTGTTTATGTTTCGATGGGTGAGTTGTTGTCTTTTCCTTGCCAGATTTACGAAGTACTAAGAACTGTGTTTCTCTCCCTCACATTTATAGTGCATCAGTAATGTCAGGTTGTCATGCAGGAGTTCATGTTCTACTAAAAGAATACATGCCAAAGAGAATATACATTCATTGTTCAGCTCATCGTCTGAATCTTGTTACAAATGATACATACAAGGTCGTTCCTTATATGTGGGATTATTTCTTGATTGTTTCGAATATTCATTCATTTTTTACCGATTCTGGTGTAACTAGTACATTTTTCAAACAAGCACAACAACAATTGGGCTTAGGTGATTATGATGCTCATATCCTCTAAAAATCTTTTTTTTCGACTTTGTTCTCGAATTTTAGTACGATCTTCGACACTCAAATTATGGGCCGAGACCAAGTGGGACTCCCGGTGGCAAGCTATCGATGCTATTGTCAATAATTATCCTGCCATCATTAAAGCACTTGCTGATATTAGCGAAGAAGGTAGTGGTACACGGTCAACTAATGCAGGTGAACGTTTAATGCATGCGAAAAAGTCCATATTTATCATCACTTTATTTATTCTTCATCAATTATTTGGTTTAATAAAAGTTTTGAGTGATCATTTGAAAAGTAAGATCTTTGTTTTTATTCTAGATCTGAAAAAGCTATCACTGTCTTTCTTTCACAAGATCCAGCTTTAGATTATGTACGTGGTGAACATCTTGTAATATCGATTATTCAGCAAATAAGCAATCTTCGTAATGAACCATCATTCAATCAAATTTATGATAAAGCAAAAAAATTTTGTGATGTAAATGGAATTGGTTTGGTACAGCAATGTCAAATACATCGTAAAATAAAAATTCCAGCTACATTTAATGATTGTTTTATTAATTCAACACTTGGACAATGTCCAAAGTTGTCTACATCAACACATTTTATGAATCAGATTTATTTTCCTTTAATTGATTGTATGTTAGTGAAACTAAATCACAGATTTTCATTCAAAACTTTATCATTTATGACAAGTATGTTAGTGGAATATGTTGCTACAGTTTATCCTGAAAGTAAACAGTTTTTGAATATTGATGATGTTGATGAATCCAGTCGTCATATTGATGTTGATTCAAGTGCTTTAACAATTGAATTTACTGTTATCAAATCTATGCTCATACCTAAAACAATCATTGATGTTATTCAACTTTTGAACGAATTAGTTTGATCCTCAACTGCATTCCCATAAACATTACGAATGATCAAAAGTGGCATAATAATGCCGATGGCACAAGTAACTTGTGAAAGATCGTTCTCGAAGATGAAGATAATCAAGAACTATCTTCGCAATTCCATGTCTGACAAACGCTTAAGCAACTTGACAGTCTTGACTGTTGAACGTGATATTGCTATAGATTATGAGCGAGTAGCAGATAAATTTTCACGAAATCACAAGAACAGCAGGATTTTATTGTGTTAAGTTATCTTACTATATGTTTTTAAAATAAATACTCAAACTCACTATACATTGATATGAATTGTTTATTTATATACTATGTATAGAACGAGAAACATCTCTATGAATCCAGAAATTGGAAAAGGTTTAAACTACATTTTTTCGTCCTTCAAAATTTCACTATAAATGTGAGGGTAACAGNTTCGTCCTTCAAAATTCACGTTAATGGATGCCGAGAGTTACTCCTTTCTATGTAAACTCTATGTAATGTATAAATAAACGCTTTTTAGTTCAATAAAACGAAAATGCATTTAAAAACAGCTGCTGTTACCCTCACATTTATAGTGAAATTATTACTCCTCAACAAGTTGAATGATGCAGCCACAAGTCTTTAGAGATGCAGCCTGAAAATCGTAAAACGATAGAATCTATTTTCGTTCGTTTAAAAGAAAAAAAATTAATTTTACGTGAAAATAGCCAAAAATGGATTGTTTCACGTAATGTGGATTTTTACTAGGATTTTGAATTTTCTTCTGAAAACAAATATTGCCATGAGATCAAAATTGCACGCTTACCTATGTTTCCATTCGGTTTCGGGATGACCACACCTGAACAAATATTGACGGGTTATGTTACCTTTGTATTTTTAGATATAGTGGCATTATGGAATAGGTTTTGCACTGAAAGTTAAATAAAGATTAAACTCTTTTGTCATGAGATTTCTTTCCTAGGTTGATAATAAGTCGATATTCAAACGGAGTAGTTAAGCAATGAAATAGCTTGACTTTAATTTCATGTTAGTGACGATAATTCTGAAATGTGTCCATAATACAAATAAATCTAAGACATTTTAAAAGTGAAAAGAATAAAAAAGGAAATGAAGGACAAAAATATATATTTTATCTGGACTACATTTCATTAAGTGGTGACAAAAAAGAACTTTTTTATTTATTTATATACTATGTATAGAACGAGAAACATTTTTGATGAATCCAAAAATTGGAAAAGGTTTAAACTACATTTTTTCGTCCTTCAAAATTCACGTTAATGGATGCCGAGAGTTACTCCTTTCTATGTAAACTACTTGAGCGGGTGGAATATCTAGTTGACAAAATTTAAATGGATTATACTCGATCGGCCATTATCTACTTGTTATCATTGAAGATGAATAAACTATATCTATGTGAAAATAATTTTAAATTTCGTATTATGTGTACTGCTGTTCTATTTGTTATCATCTTCTTATTGTACACTCATTTTCATCATTCAAAATCATTCACTATTGCCAGTATTTCACGTTTATCACTTAAAGATACACCTCTTATTAAACCAACGTCTCATGTATATTTTCCAGGCAATCAAAGTGAACATATATTTGATTTTGTCGTTGTTAACAATACGCTTGATCCATCTGTTGATGCATACTTATTTTTAAGCGGATCTTTACTATTTTGGCCCTATATTCAATTTTATTGTATTTTTATACACACAGGTATCAATACCACAGGATCAGTTGACATGAAATGGACACAAATACAAATTACATGTCCGATACCAAAAGCAGAGCTCAATCAACGTCAAATATCGGTATTATTTATGAATCAAGTAACAAACAAATCAATTTTCAATACACAAATAAATATACCCATTTACTCCCGGGCATATCACAATATATCCATTTATACAATGATTAAAAATAAAAGTGAAGAACTAGTCGAATGGATCGAATATCATCTTCTTTTAGGTATTGAACATTTTTATTTGTACGATAATCTAAGCGAAGATATGATCGATAACGTTTTAATACCTTACATGAATAGTAATATCGTAACACTCATCCGATGGCCATTTGCACCATATCCAGGTAAACACTGGAACTCAATCCAAACATCATCCATGAATCATTGTTTAAAAAGTTTTGGACCGTTTAATCGTTGGATCGGATACTTTGATGTTGACGAATATTTTCAACCAAACGATGAAATAATTGAAAAAATATTCAATAAATCAAGAACACTAGCTGAATTGTTAGATGAGAATTTTGAAGAACAGATGTATCCTGGAGCTGTTCAATTTATAAACTGGTCAATTTCTTGTTTTCTATCACGAATCGATGTATTAAAAAGTCGATATCATTTGAATATTGAAAAATGTAAGTTCATTACTAAGCAGTCACCACCAAAAATGTTTATTCGACCGCGAAATGTACCAGCAATGCACAATATTCATGCTCTAGAATCAGGACTGAAATTTAAAACTGATACTACTTGGAAGGAATTTGGTCGATTTCGCCATTATAATGGAGGAAATCACGGTGACATTTTACCCGTTGAAAATACCAATAATAATTCTAATTTTGTTGTTGATAAAACAATAATGAAATATGTGATATTATTAAGAGAAAAGATCATCAGATACAGATAGAAAATGCTAATAATCGAGATGTTCCTAGGCTAAAAATTTTTTGTAAAACGTTTTTTTAAGTTTAACAAGTTGATTCCGCTATATGTAGTTTTTAGCTAACAGAAATGCTGCTTTTGGCAAGATAAAAATAGGTAGTATGCTAGTTTTTCCGTTAACAAGACAATTATTCGATATTGAGAATGTTTCCAGTAGAAATATAAAATTAAGTTATAATAATAATTAACTTTCACAGT